GCAACTCAGTTGATCGTGAAAAGTTGCGGGTTCTTCTGAAATAAAACAGCTAACTTGGATGGTCTTACCCTGAAAAGACGTATTGGTTCGTAAACACCAATTCCACGACAGCTGGCCTTCGTTTGGAGGCTATCTTTTGGGCTAGGCAATGGTTGCTCCCTAGGGATCCAGTCGTACCTTCTCAGGTACGGTGAGCAGGGAGACACTCTGATGTAGCTTTTGAGGGTCCAGTCGTACCTTCTGAGGTTCGGTACGACTGGATCCCTAGGGGCTGTAGGATGACTCGGAAGATCGTTGCTTTGTTTGTCTTAGGTCAGACGTTGCACTTGAAGTGGGAATGACACCGAGTGGATTCACACGCAAAGGATCCCAGAGGTTTTTCAAGGTTCCGTGTGTGTGTTTTTCCTCAGAACTCTTCGGGTGTTCCTCATTCATCCTCACCTTGCTTCATGAAGCTCAGAAGAGCTTCTGGGATTGATCGAGGGTTATGATTCAGAGTGCAGAGTCAGAGTTGCGGCCTCTAGATTGCCAGGATTTGCAAGGTCTAAGGAGGACCCCGCAGAACAGGTCTGTGTTGAGGGTGTCCTGAGGGTGTGTGTGTGTGTGTGTGCAACAAGGAATACTGTAAACGGTAAATTGTTCAATGGTTTATTCCAGGAAAGGCCCTTGGTTCATTCAGGATGCCATGAATTAACATGTTCTACAAGATTCCCACTTGAGCTTCAGTACCTCAGAGATCAGGTTGCTAGATTCCTATCCCCAGAAAAAGTTCAGAAACTGAAGCAGCAATCCAGCAATTCATTGAGAAATGCTTCATACTGCTTCTCCACCTAAGCCTAAGCATCTCCATTGGGGAGGAGATCGACACATCCTCACCGAGGTGAGGTTCCTTCCTTGAAGGAATGGAGCAACGACTTGAAGGTGGGGGCCCTTTTCGTCCAAGTTAGACCGGGTGGAGCTCAGGGCGACGGGGCAATGTGCACAACATTCAAAATCCATTATTTGTTCTTCAGAAGCCATGACCGAACTTGGTCCCCTGGTTTCACGAAAAGGCCAAAAGCTCACTGAAGAAGGGTGAGCCCAGAATTTAGAACAGACACGTGACTTGGTCACTTAGACAATGGACACTGCATGTAGCCACACTGGCACCTTGCACCCAAGCCAAGCTGGCACCTGGCACCCCCATACTCCTCAGGGAGGCAGAAAAACAAAGGAAAAAAAACAAATCGATATATATATATATATTATATGTAGTAATTAGGTAAGTTCCAAAGACCAGTTAGACCGACCGACCCGGTGCCCCTCGTTCCTTACTACTTGTGGCTGCTTGGGATCAGTTCCATCTTCCGAACCTTCAAAACCAGGTCTCAGTGGCGACCAACGACTTGATGCAGGGCATGCAGGCACGCTCCAAACGCACGCGGAGCGTCGTCCACGCATGAGCCGTTGTGTTGGGGCCGGATGGTAGCACAGTTCCTGACCTGTTGGATTTGTTGTGTTCTTTTTCGGCAGCTGGACAGTACTGTAGTTTCTTGCTTAATACCCCACCCCATATGAATAGTTGGTTCATGTGTTTTTGTCAATCAATGGGGTTATATGAATCAAGAGTCAACCAGTAGGAGTGCTGCGAATCCCGGAGCTTTGCCGATGACTGACTCCAGTCTGTGGCATGACCAATGCCCTAGGCATAACCCGATAGGCATAGATCATCATACCCTAGGGCTCCTGGCCCATACCGCTCAGGTTCGGTGGTTAGACCCCCCTGGCACCCACCCCCGGCCCACCTTCGAAACGGAGGTGGGACAGGAGCCCTAGGGCATAGCTCTTTGGTAAGTCTCTTGGTACACTCCACTTACTTCCGTTCTGACATGCTTCAGATGTGAAGGCTCCCAGAAGGCTCCATGTGAAAAAACCGGTACTAGGACATGCGCGACCCCTTCAAGCAAGGGGTTTTAGACGATTTTGGAGGTCGAACCGGAGGTTTGCTTGCTCTAATTGTTCCATGTATGTTTGAAAAGCCTTTCGGCAGCTGCTCCGTGAGCCAATCTGATGACATCCAAACGAGAGATGCACATGTTCCCCACCCCCCGAAGCGCAGCGCTTGGCGCAGGTGGACGGACGGAGACGCCGACGGTGGACGGTGGAGGGGTCCAGGGGTCCAGTGAGTCGCCTCGGGTTCCCGGAGACCGCCGAGGCGGTCGTTCTCGGAGATCCGTCTCTAGAGGTCTTCAGGAAAAGAAACCGATCTGGTCGCCAGGTCCAAAGAGACTAAGTATTTGTATCCGATGTATCTCCCAGGTGTTTGTTGGAAACTAAAGGTGACTGGACATCACTGGTGCTTCTTCGTTCGACATCCCTGGACACCGATGAAGAACACGTCGTCCAGTCCGGCCGTTTGGCCTTTCTCGTGTTTTGCCTTTCTCCTCAGGCGTGCAAGCAGCTTGGAATTTGAAGAAAACCAATGAGGCAAGCAACCCCAAGACGTGCAAGACTTAAAAAAACAGCACATGGATGAGGATCAAAACTAGACAAAAAGCAGGATATTCTGTTGAGTTGAGAGATAAACTTAGGCCAACATCAGACACGAAACTATGGATATGTTTGGAGAACAGAAGCTTCAAGAAGCGTCATGCGCATACACATTGTTCAGGTTTCATCATGAACTTTGCAGGTGGACTGGCTGCGAACTGATCCTCTAAACCATGCAACTATACCCTAGAGTGGGGTTGGTGGCGGCTTCGGCTTCCTGCACGACGGAAACACGTAATGGTGGAGTGAAAAGCACTCCTTGACCTGGCATGTCATGCTCTGTTTTTCCTACACACACACACACCAACGGAAAAAAGAAGACACCCTTTTGATCACCTTTTACTACACACGCCCATGGAGAGCGCAGATGAGAGCTCCGGCTCCAGCTCCTCCTCGGACGGCTCGGCCTCTCCGTGGTGGGCGAAGTGGCTGCCATGTGGCACTCAGTCCAAAGTGTCTCGACCTGTGGCGCTTGGTGCGATGCTTCTTTCCGTGCGGATGTGGCACCTGCCGGTTTCCCCAGGGTTTTGGAAGAGCTTGGGATAGCCGAGAAAAGGGAAAGGTCTGGGAGATCCTGGATCCTGGATCCGTCTTTTTTTTGAGTATTTTGGATGGTTTGGGTCCGAGAATTTGTTTGGGACTCTGAAGGGAGATCCCAGAGGAGATTTACAACAGAAGACCGTTGATGGATGTTGATGTTAGCTTTATAAATAATCATGTGGTAGGTAGGGCCTGGCAGGGCAAAAGGATTCAAACAAGTCGTAACGATGTCGAACAAGTGAAATGGAAAAGTCAAAGTCAAACAAACACACATTGTGACACATTTAACAGAAATAAAATAGACAACTGCTCGAATAAGTCAAAACAAATTTCAAAACATGTCGAACACAAGTTAAAACAAAAAACAAGTTCAACAGTCGAAAATAATTCAATAAATCAAAATTATAAAACAACGCGAAAAAAAAAAGGAAAATCAAGAAAAACAAACACATCAAATAGAAGCAAAACAAAAGTCAACCACTCGAAAAAGTAAACTAAAACACAAATCAAATAATAAACAAACACAGTCAAACAACAACAAAAACAGTTAAAACAAGTCAAAACAATGTCAAACAAAAAGCAACATTAGATACACAAAAGTAACAACAAAGTCGGATCTGGGCACATTGACTTGTTTTGACTTTATGAAACTTTATGGCTTGTTTTTTTGACTTTGACTTTTGGTACATACTTGTTTGATCTTTTTTTTTGGTGTTTTTTAGTGTTGAAAACAGACTCTCTCCAATGAGCGATGTTTACAATGTTAGTTAGTTGGAGAAGTTCTACGTGCCACTGTTCCCTGAACATTCTTTGGTTAAACCTGGGCTGAGAGAGGAGCTGCTGGAAAAGGAGTCTTTGTCCACGTGAGGGCCAAGCTTCCCAGACTCCCTCCCTTCAAACACATCAAACCAAAGAGGCTCCCAAAGTAGAAGGCTTCTTTTTGGCTTCCAAAGCCCATAAAGTATCATAAAGTTAATCATGATATATTCCCTAGGGCTCCAACCATATCCTCAGGTTCGGTGGTTAGACCCCCCTGGCACCCACCCCAACCACTTTCTCAGGAGGTGGGACAGGAGCCCTAGGGATTGAATGAGTTAACATGGTGATGCACATCATTTGGAGCTTCACTTCAAACCTTCGTGACTTGGTGACTTCGTGACTCGGCCAGCTGGGGGTTTCTAGGTCCAGCTCTCCGTTCTCGAGGATGTGAGACGGATTGGATGGACAGGTTGGAAGACCTGAACTGAGACCCTATAGTGATAGCATAGGCCATCACAAGGGCCATAGGGCTTTTGGACCCTGGTGGACCTCTCTAGATTCTAGATAGTGAAGAAACCGCGGGTTCTCTTCCCCAAGAGATTCTTCGGTGAATGTTTGGCCCAGGATGACTTCGGCTTGAAGCACGCCCATAGCCTTCGCCAATGTGAGGAGGGTCATAACTCCGCTGAGCTGCAGCTGGGCGTTTGCAGCCCGCAGGGATGGAGATGTGTCTAGTTGAACAGGTGCCAGAAGAACGGCAGCAACAAGAACATACAAGGACGACGGCAAGGAGTAGGCTGGGAGTCTTTTTCTGTCCCCTTTCCACGAGGGTCACGAGTCGCTATACTCACTACTCAGCAACGCTCCGCACAGCGTTGGGCTCCGGAAATCACAGAAAAACTGCCTTGAGAACGTCGGGCTTCAAAGGACGTACTTGATGGAGCCGGATGTAGGTGGATGTAGGTGGTGTCAAGGGCTGCAGGCCAAGGTTGTGTGGATCGGGTGGTTGATACTACCCATCTCAGCCATCTCCCAATTCCTCGGGCGGCTGGCAAACCCAGATGGCTGGCAGAAGGGGGTTGCTTGTGGCCATGGCGGCGCCGGTGTTTCGTGGGCATTTCTCAGTCTGAGACGTTGAAGAAACACCGAACTGGGTGGGCATGGGTCATGCCATGCCGAACTTGGAACATGACGATCTTGTTAAAACAATGTTGAAGATACCTGGACCATCCAAGGGGTGCCCAATGGAAGCCCATAGGTAGTGTGGGTAGCCCATTGGACACCCCAAGGGGCTTCTATTGATAGCCCCTTAGATGTGAACGGGTGTCCATTCACCACCCCTTGTGGGGTCTTGGAACATACTTAAAAGGCAGATGATTTGCTTGTTCAGGGTATTGGATCTCAAAATCGTTTCATCTAGTCTATACCGCACATTGTAAAATAACGAAGCTTTATTCCAAAGGACAATAATCTATACTGTAATCGACGGTTTTTTCCTTCATGACTTGACTGAGGCAAGCGATGATTGAGCAGCGTGACAGTCTGAACGCCAGCATTGAAGAGCATATGCGGCGGCAGAATCTAGAGCTTCCCCTCGTGGCTGAGTTGCACAGCACAGTGAAGTCATAGAACCGCCCCCCCGAATCAGTGCCCTGCTTGCCCTGATTCGAGCATTTTTGCCACAAGCAACAACGCGAAGTGAAGTGCCGCGCGATCGATTGCGTAGTATAAGCAGTCTTGGAGGGGAGGCCAACTACTTTTCACTGGACAGGTGTCCAAATAGGAGGATCCAACGTGTCCAACACGCTTGGACGGTCGCGAAGATCTTTGGACCAGGTCTATCCCCAAGGTCCATGTCCAATGCATTCACCCCGACACATCCCAAGGAAGCCAAGGGGGCCGGGCTCCGTTGGAGCCCTTCAGGTCGCATCGCCGGCATCGCCCCTTCGTTCGGAGAGCTTCGGAGAAGCGGGCCCCTCTGAGGTCACGGACCCCACGTCCAAGGTGGCCTTGGCCTTTCTGGTGCCTGAGGTGGAAAGTGCCTGGGGCGAGAACGAACGTTGGCCCCAAACACTTGGGTGGCACCATCGAGATCCGGATCCCTACCTAATATACGGCATATTTCAACATCTATATAATATAATATATATTTGATATATACTATATTAGCCTCTCTACCGAATTCTTCACTCGTCAGACAGAATTCGACGGAATTTCAGAGAGTCAAACGCGACCCGCCGATCCAGCTACTGAATGGGCGATGGGTATACCAAGGAGTTTTGCACCACAAAACCATGTCGTTCCATATGTTTTGATGTTCTTGGAATGTTAGGAAATTTATTGCAGGCCCAGATTTTGGGCCTCAGGAGGTTTGCAAGCTCCAATTGCTGAGGGTCTAGGGCAGTCGACCTATAGACATAGGTCAAACGAAATGTCCTGGCACACATTGGGAGTAGCCAGGCTTTATCGGGTGCTGCCGGGTTTGGTTCTTTGGTTGTTGCATCTGGCACTATAGACCTCCAAATATAGGTAGAAAAGTAAAACCCCTTTTCAAAAGATATTGGAAACCGTGCAACTATCTACAGTATTTGGGGACCACTATCTTAATATGATGTTCTTCCCTTCTTGAGAGTTTTGGGGGACCGTGCCTCTTATGCCTACGCCCCTCTCTCCCTGAGGCCAATGGCGCAACGAAGGTTGCCAAGATCAGATCGTCGTAGGCTCTTTGTGGCCCGGCTGCCCATAATGTGGTCAGGTGTCTTTGCATGGTCCAACTCAGCTCGGAGTTCCAACTGCCCCGTTCGGGCACGTTTTTCAACTCGGACGTTTTTTGGCGCAGGAAATCAGGGTTTTTGATAGACAGACCACTGGGCACAATCCTCAAATGGTATTTGGAGCATGGACAGGTTCAAGCAATTCTATGTAATGCTGTATACAGCGCCATTATAGGTTCTTATAAGTGACAAATCAAGTATGCCCACATTTGCGGCACCCGTCCACTCGATGGTCACAATTCCCTAATCTGTTCAGGGGCACCTTTTTGTTTGGCCGCAGTCACTAGCCAACCCATCCGTTCTAGCTCACAGAGCCGGAACACTGCTCCAAACCGAAACCATAGCCTAATTGTCGCCTTCTTCACGCCATCCTATCCTAATTGTCGCCCAACCCGGCCGAGATTCCTGGCGCTCTGCGAGCTCTTGTTGCGGATCTCCTCCTTGTGGAAGGATCTGCGCCACGGCTGTGGGCTCAAAGGTCTCATGGCCTCCATGGCGCTCAAAGCCGGAGTCATCTACAACGGCTGCAGCTCGGAGTAAAGCGTCGGCCGGTCCGGTCCGGGGCCCGGTGGGGCGGGCCCGGCGAATGACTGGGGCCACTGGGTAGAGCTGGTTGATGGGGAGTATTGCAGGGATTGTCACATGGTTGTGATCATCAGCCAAGTTCCAAGGCCGTGAAAAAGACCGCCTGGGACTGGGAGGTTCCGATCATTGATGGACGAACGGCCTGGAAAGCCATCGGTTGGTCGAGGTGGACTATTTGTGTCATATAGTTATTGCTTCCCTCAGAGTCTGTTGTCAGGATCCACGCGTGTTTTGGGAGAGAGAGATTCTTTCGGTTTGACAGAGCATGATATGAAGGGAACGCATGATGAACGGTCCCCCCTATTGGCGCTATTGGTTTTGGCCCGCCTCGGGCCTCGGGGCCTGCAATAGAAAAGATGCCTTTCATATAATAAAGCCTACCTGGACCATCCAAGGGGTGCCCAATGGAAGCCTATAGGTAGTGTGGGGTAGCCCATTGGACACCCCTTGAATGGTCCTGGTAGCTAGCACAAGTTTGTGAAATTTGTGGACACTACCCCCACTACCCGACCCTCATCAGTTAGTTTGGTCCACCTTTCTTCGAGCTTGTTTAATTACGACTTGGCGTTGGGAGAGACTGGATCCAGATTTATTTTACGCCGGCTGTCCTGGTTTATCCACTGCACAGGCTTTATACCCCCTACTGGCATGTGATGGCATGTGTATTCTAGTCCTCTATGCGGAAAGCATTCCCCAAAGTGATACAAGTCCCACATCTCCCCAAATAAGGAGACTTCGAATCCAGTTGATGGTTCTTTTTCCAGGGGGTGGAACTGGGGGGCTTATCTATATATATTATCTATATATATATAATACACCCAATCGTAGATGAATGTGTATTGCTCCGAACATCTCGGGGTGTGGAGTGAAGCGGCTCGGATGACCGTGGCGTGCAAAGGGCAGACCGTGCGGCTGGTCCACTCTTCCCTCACTGAAAGAACCAAACACCCAATTGGAACTACCATTCCGGATCATGGCAAATGCTGCCACTTTCTTCACCTGTCCCTTTAAAAATCGATGGACTGTTTGTATACTTCCAGCTCGAATTCTGGGCATTCCTGGTCACACGAAAGAGAGGAAGTCCGGTCCGGCCGGTTCGGCGTGCGTGCCGTTTTGAGGTGCCTTTGTCATTTTGGTGCCTTTTGCCCTGTGGAGACTTGGAAGTGTAACTCCCTCGATCCGAGAAGATCGCTTCCTCTCCCTCTCCTGTCCTGTTAGCCTCCGAGTCTAGAGGCCGACGTGGCCGGCGGCGGCGTTGGGCGTTGCTGGCGTTGGGATGTCCAACGCTGAATTCGGACACGGGGTGTCCATGGGTGTCCTGAATTCGGAGGAAAGAAAGCAGCATCAGCACATTCAAGGTGATTCAGGAGAATCAGAACCTGGCTCCATATGTTCGGTATTGCCAGGGCGCGGCCGCAACATGGTAGAACACATGATTTCGCCTTCAATCCGACCACACTTGGCACTTGAGTTTGCTGTGAGTTTGGGACTGGGCAGTGCTTAGGGTTGAATATATAGGCCCAGGTCTCTTTGTAAGTTCATCAAGGCCTTGGCCGACCCCAAAGAACTTGGAATCCCGAAGAAGCTCCTTCTTGGGTAAAAGGTTGTAAAAGGTAAGGTGATTTGGGGAACTCGCCCCCACAATTTGGGCAGATTTAGCTGGGTGTGGGAATAGCCAAAAAATGCCGAAGATAGGTTCAGGTCCAGATCGCGTTTTGGCAGTCTTATCGATCACATCGCAGAACTATGTTGGGATGAGCAGCTGGAGTTCTTCAGATTTCAACCTCTCTATAGATTGTGAAGTACGTGAGTGGGACTCTGGAGACGTAGTAGCCCAATCTGACCAGTCTCCCAGATCTGACCGTTGATGACCAAACGCGACCCACCGGTTTTTGTCCAGGATCCGCCAAAACGACGAACACAGTCAGCACATGGAAACCAGTGTTCATGGCATTGTGCAGGAAAGGAAGGGGAAGGTTTCCGAGTACCAAACAGGTGGGCTTTCCATTTTCATGTGATGTCTTCGTCAGAGTATGCCTCCTGAAGTTTCCAGCCTAACCACCGGGCTTTCTCTCCGCTGACCGGGTCAGTCTAGGATGATTGGTTGAGTTTTGTATTGTTTGTCGGATGCTGTAAGGCAAAGCCAAGCAAACGACCTGTACATAATTGGCATCTTGTGGTACCATTTTTTGTAATATGTGCGCGGTGTTCTCCACGCGCAGTGTTTCTGATCCTTGCGCAATCAGGAATACCAGATTGAAGAGCAGGAGGCTGCTGTTGGCCCTGACCATCTTTGCTTATCTAGATCCTTGTCCAAGAGGCACAGTTTGCAACAAAAGGCATTCCTTCTTCTTTCATCTCTGCCTGTCGTTCGAACAGTGTACCAGGGACCGGACCTCTCAGCACCTCTTACCAGCAGAGGTTGAAGAACCCTACTTCGACTATCCTATAAGTACCCCTACCTAACGGGTCCTAGTATAGGGTCACTTAACCATACTTAACCTTTGCAGCAGGTAAACAAACACACCAACTTGCTACCATGGTCTCCGGTCTTCGACCGTGTCCGCTGTGCTTCTCCTTCTCGGACCGGACCGGTCTGGCTCGGAGCATCCAACGGAGACAACGGAGCCGGGCGGAAGACGTCGTACCGAACCGGTTGGGTACGACAATGGCACCCACCCAGTCCCAGCTTCTTAGAAGGTACGACTGGAGCTCTAGGGGAGGAGTAGTCAGGCTGAGTCAGGAGGCGTCCATGGGTACAATCATTGGAGGATTTGCGCTGTTGTGCAAATCCTCCGGGCCTTGCGGTTCTGCAGCCAAGCAAGCCACATGCCACTCTACGGCCATGTATGAATGATTCATAAATAGCACTAATAGAATGCAATAGATATTATATAGTACATTATAGTACTGTAATTGTACTGTATTAACAGCATACTTGCATAAAACGTACTTTCAAACCATGTCATTACACCTGCATCCTCCTCTCCACCTTGGCATACCTTGGCCGTCCGCCTTCGCCTCCTCCGGTTGATGGACCAGGCCTCCAGGCCTCCAGGACCATCCCCTTACTTCACCTTTGTTCGGAGCTAAGAATGGGACACCCCGGCCAGGGCCAGGGGCGCTGGTATATACTTGGATGGGTCCCAGGTGCTTTGTGTTTCTGGTGTCTACGATCCTCTCAGGATCGGATTCTGGCTTCCATGCCACTGCTGCACTATGCCTGTGGCCGCGGCCGTGACACGAGTCCTCAGTGCGAGACCTTCCCAAGCAAGAAGGACTGCCAGATGATGGACACTTGATCCAATGGAGTCACGAAGGCCGAAGGACATCAACCGAAGATCACATGCAAGAGAAAGATGATCCCAGACACTCCCTGCATTGACACCTGAAACCATGTCAAGTCCATAGTTATATAGATGGAGTGTTTGAGGATTGAATGAATCATTTCGGGCAAAGGCAAGATTTTGAGACAACTGTTGTTGAACATGTCCTCCGGAAACAGCGCAATATGAAAGAATGATCACCCCCCTGTGGTACAGCTTCCTTCTGCAGGAGATAGACATATTGCGCTCAGATGCGGTTAGATCAAATCACAGAAAGTCAGCTTTCGATTCCCATGTAATGTAGACTCTTGATTGATTAGGAATTTGTGTGTCTGTGTGAACCAGGTGGTCCAGGATGTGCTTGCCCCAGCTAAGGAATACCATCGTTTCCACGTGCAAATGCTAAGCGTGATGGCACAGGTCTTGGTCTTGCCAGAGTACCGAAGCTTGGTTTTGAGTCACCTTCCACAAAAAAGACAACAACAATCAATTTGACCTGGGTTCCCAACCAACACCTTTGGTTTAAAGCAAAGAGTAGTTTGCCTTTGAGGTTTGCTTTGCTTTACCTTTGGTGCCTGCCATATGGCAAACATATCGGCTGTATCGGAACAAATATAATCAAAAAGATGGCATAGGCACAAGGACATCCTGTTCCCATTTGTTCCCTGTTTTGTTCAGCCAAGTAAATCTCCCGACTTGGCAGAAGCAGAGTGTCATCGTGCTGATCGCAGCTCAAACTTCAAGACCCAGTTCCCAAAACTTCCTGTGTGGAATATTATGGAATATATTGGGGACAGATGCGGTGGTTTCAGGGCTCGATGTACAAGATTCCGTGGAGCTTGGGCTATCCGCAAAGAATCCGTAGACTTGGTTCCCCAGTGTTCCCTGGCGAACCCGCGCTTTTCCCTGCAAAAAGGGCGCGGCCCGCCCTCCCCAAACCACGTCGTGAACGGTTTTCTTTTGTTTTTGTTCTGCTGTGTGTTCTCAATGAGAACTCCAGATTCCAGATCTTAAGCGCCAGTGGCGTGGACCGCGACGATCGAGGGCCACTCAGGGAAGAAGGGCGACCGGCCGATTCGATGAAAAGCTTCCCATTCAGAACGGCAGAAGGAGCGCCGGAACGTCAGCACGGTGAACACCATGAACTCAGCACGCCATCGAAACCTGGGCAGTTTCCAACCAAACTGGTCCAGATTCGATTCACAGCATGGTGGAATGATTGTTCTTCCCCATATGTTCCGGAACGTGATCAGGACCAGGTCAGCTGTTCCAGAGAGTGACTAACGCATGACAAGCCTCGACCAGCTAAGGATACTGTTCCTACATGTGGATTTGGATTTTCCTGGCCACCTTGGTGTCCAGCGTCTTCGTGGCCAATGAGGAAATCCGCTCGGTCCCTTGGGACGGTGCACGTTGCGGCTGCGCATCCGGATTCCGGATCCCTACCGACCCTACCGAGGTGAAGTGACCTGAACGTTCGGCGAACCCTACCAGACCCTAGGGATCCAGTCGTACCTTCTCAGAAGGTGATTGGAGACTATTTGTGTAGGCTTGGAGGGCCCAGTCGTACCTTCTGAGAAGGTATGTGGATCCCTAGGGAGAGGGTACCTCAGTGGGTACCCAACGAACTCGGAGCGTCGAACTGATCGGCTTCGGCGACCCACCGATGCGGATCCGCTTCGGACGGACCGTTTCTTTCGGTGGTCTTGACGGTGGGCTTGGCATGATGCTTCGTTTCCGGTCCAGTGGATCGATCATGGTGCGGTTGGTCCAGTATGAGGATGTAGGGACAAGCAGCAGAGGTGGGTCAGAACCCGACTGTTCGACCATCCTATAGGATCTATAGGTACCCCCTGGTTCTATTCGGGTCCGAACGTTCACTGGATACCTCTGTAGGACAAGCCCGGTGGTTGTGGGACACCCCGACATCACCTCTAGACGGGGCGCCCTGGTGGTTACCTCTAGACGGGGCGCCCCGGTGGTTCTTTGGGATCACGAATTCGGGTGACTGGTCGTAGTTGGGTTACCCCAATGAAGGATCTCTATCCGTTTTGTTGGATTTTCCTTGGATCTCGGTCGTTCTCGATGTCGTTCTCATCTCCTGCATTGGATCTCGGTCGTTCTCGATGTCGAACCATCTGCACAGGAGAAGGAGGATTTTCGTCCAGCGGAGAGCGTGGGCGCACGAGAGACAAACCGTGCCTGCTTGATCTAAGGTCTTGACCGGAACCAGAGACCGCGTGCTCCTCACAACTGAAGGCAAGCTGGATGTAGAGGATGCCAAGAACGAGTTCTTTGTGAGGCTGAAAGCTTTGGGACTGTTCTCAGCTTGGGAAGCTGGAAGTTCTTCTCGGCTGTGGGGGGGGGTCAAAACCCAGGACCTTTGGTGGGGCTGGTCCATTCGG